CTATTAAATATATATTCTATAATATTTTGTATTTTATTTAAATTTTCTGCTCGATTCCTAAAGAAAATTAATAATTTAATTTATTAATTGATATATTATATTATAGTTTTTGATTTATTTTATTATAATTAATATAAAAAATATATATAATAACTAACAAAATTATGAAATTATATATGCAATTTTAGTAAACAATTGAAAATTTTTAATTTTATTATAAATATTTTTTATTATATTAAAATAAAGATTATAGTTTATATTTTAAAAGTAAAATATATTTTTTTGAAAAATTACATGATTATATATAATTGATTATAAAAAAATTATATAGTTTTACATATTTAATTATAAAAAATCATATAATTAGCAATAAACAAAAAAATAATGATTTAGGCAAATATCAGAAAAAACTCAAAAATTTTTTCAAGAAAAAATAGGTTTTTAATTTTTTTTCTGAATTATTATTTTTCTGAATTTTCCATTTTTTTTATAAGGAATATTTGCATATTTCAAGCTTTTTGATTTGTATTAAATTACAAAATTAATTACAAAAATGGTTGCAATCACTTTGTAATTAAAAAATTTTTGCAATTACTTTGGAATAAGAAATTCTCGTTTTCGCACTGAGATCATAGCTGGATACCATAAAACGATTGCTTTATGTCACTGTATCGCTCCACAATAACGCTAACCGATCTGTTTTCTCTCTAGTACCCTAGCCACGGCGAAAAAAAGTGTCGATCACGTGATTCCGATACCAACACATCTCCCTTAATTATATTAAATAGAGTTCCAGTCAGGTTAGGGTTAGGTTTAAGATTATTGTTATAATAAACGTGAACATACTATATACTAAAATTTCACAAGGAACATTTTTTGTTATAACACAAATAATTGTTTTATAAGTAAAATTTCAAGATACAAGTTGTTTTACAAAAAGTAATCGTTTGTTTTCAATTTTTTTGCGTTACACATTGATCTTGCGATTTGATTGGTGCATGATTTTAAGGGATGGTCAGCATCGGGATCGGATTCACGTGATCGACACTTTTCGTCGTGGCTAGGATACTTCTCTCTCTCTTGTGTCATATCAGTTACTTGGCGTGTGTTCTAAGAATCCATTTTTAACCAAGCTTATTAACTTGAGTTAAAGAAAACAAAAGTATTCATTAATGTAATTTGAAATAATATCTATAATAATAATTGCCAATTAAATTTTAGCATTATAGTCTTAAGAATTGTCCAACAAGTTTCAATTTTGCTACATAATGACTCTTGAGATAATACCTATTAGTAAAAATTTTTAAAAATTCACTATATCATTCACAAAAATGGGAAAAAAATACTATATAGATGTATCGAGGATTAAAATGGATACTTGTTTATTTTGATTATATTGGCGGAGATTAAACTTTATTTTTTCGGAACTTATAATTCAAATCACTACTCCTCTTCATTTCTGACAAGATAGTTATAAATTTATAGAGACTAGGTCGTAATTCATAGATACAAATTGTGTAAAAAAATTTATCAGAAAACACAATAAAATCCTTGCGCGAATTATTTGATTAAATTTGACTTCTTTTTATTTTGTGCACAATTAGTTTTTTATCGCTCTTATAACTATGAACGACAACCTATCATCTATCTTTTCACAACTATATTATTAAAAATGAAGGAGTGGTGATTTGAAAAAAGCTGTGAATCCCGAGAAAATTACATGTACTGTGTTGATCAACCGGGTCAATGAGTTGATGAATCTATCTGAACCAATCAACAACCCGAATATTAGTTCTGTATTCTACACACGTGGGGTCAAAAGACGGCTGATTGCTGCAGTCGTAAAAGATATTAAATGAAAAAAAATGCGAGATAAGCTTCTGCTATTTAATTTATCAATAAGACTAGCTCGATGTAAATGTTTACGAGCAGGTTTATGCAAACATCACGAGATTACCAAAAATAAAATCTCAGATAGTCGAAAGTTAACAGACACAAAGAAAGATTTATTCATCAATAAGATCTAGATTGTAAAATTTGCATACTGAATGTTAATTCTTGTGGAGGATATACTAATACAGTATACACACACATTATGCACTTATGTAATAACAAAGATATTTCTGAGATCAACAAGAAAAAAATATAAACAAAAATTTTTACAATAAAAACCGAGACCTGGTATAATAGGAAGAGGGAATTTAGTATACATGTGCAAACTTTTGTATACACACATTAATTTTTGAAAAAATTAATTAATACATGTATGCACAATCACTCAATTGTGAAAATTATCCGGGGTTATGTATAAGATGCGCGATGAATCTACAAACATCACAACCACGAGACTCGGCCAAACAAACAATGGAAATGAATTTATTTGTTATCTATTGAAGCAGCGATTTTTTAGCCAGATACAATTTTTGGAGAAAATTTTCCACACTAAAATTAAAAATGACGTATCATGGAAAGCTTGGCTGATGAAAAAAGGGAGAAAGGAAGCGAAAAAAAATTCACAAAGTGCAGATTTATTATTAATCAAACGCAAAAAAATTAGCAAATAGCGCCAAATTTTTTTTCGGTGCGTGCCACATCAGAACTACATGTACTTTAGACCCTGCATATTCGATTTTTTTTATACACCAAAACTAGGCAAACATATGATGGGACGATCTAAATCGACGTGGACATTTAATTTTTAAGCTATTTTCCCAAATAGGTATCTTTTGAATGTTCATTGTTACCGTTACCGTGCAACAGATATTGAAATCAATGCTATATATGGTTCGTGCCGGTGCAAGTTATTACTAGTGCTAGCAATTGTCCAATTAAAAGCGTTGATATCAACACCTTTGGGTTTTGTATCAATAAACATGCAATATGGCAGAATATATGTATATTATATGATAACAAAAAATAATAAATGACTCGTGCGCATAAATAAATGACAAATATGTCACAATAGTGAATTAACAGAATAGCATATAATAAAATGCCTTGTCCAATTGTTCATTATCTATACTACGATTTAAATAAAATTCTCACAGTAATGGAATTTAGGAGTGCAAATAATAAAAACAAAAATGGTGCACACGGCGTCATATCAAGCGATAGTCATTCAACAGCCCAAAAAATTTTCTTATAAATGAGATATTGATCAGGATAAATTGAATAAAGAAAGGCTCATAGTTTGACGTTTGTGTGATTAAAATACATTCTTTTATTAAAGAAACACTAGGTAGCGATTTTCCTATATGATATTCCTGCCACGAAACCTCCTATTATCCCTTTTAATTCAAAGTTTTAAGCTTTTTTAATCGAAAACTTCTTAATTACAACTATCAATATGAATTCTAAACACGATGTTGAAGAAATTCTTAATGTTCTCACATCGACAACCCACTCAAATGCCTCAATTCATATAGTAATTCCAGAAAAAACGCACCTAGAGGGTGAGTATTTTTCTTTTTTATATTTCATGTTCATAGATGCACGATCTTACATTATACGTATATTTTTTACGTAAAAAACAAATAGATAGAAGAGCGTCTCCTGGACTGCATCATAAGCGCGAGCAAACACCAGCTGATTCGCAAGTTACTCTCGTTATGCCACCAGAACAGATGGTAATTTTTTGAGTCTATACAAATCATTTGTAATAGTTTACACGCCGACTCATGTTTTACTGATTTTTCCATGATATAGGTTGACAGTTACCATTACATATCTCTGGAACCAGCATCTGAACAACGAGCTCGACGTTTGAATCTGAAATGGACAGTTGGACTCGTGCTCTTTGCTATTCTATTATTTTGTAGGCTAATTTATATTATTCTTTAATTATTTCAGCCCAAAGTATAAAAAAATAATGCATCCTAAAATCAAATCTTTTTTTATTATAGTAATATCGACTTACGCTGTTATAAGGACGATACACGCATAGACTTTTTCGACGACGATGACAAATCTATACATTCTCACGTTTTCCTCTTCTAAATTTTTACCTTATTCCCGTCGTATACCAATAGAATTAGAAATAATAACGATAACGATCCTCTGATTTTCTTATCCTTCACTTAATTCGATATATAGATTCGTTCCTATTTCGATATATAGATTCGTACCTACATCGATTATTTCACACCCATTATTATAAGATAAACAATAATAATAAAGACTAAAACCCATTTAAAATGACAACTCTTATCTTTTCACTATAGCGATAGTATTATTATGAACTCATCACTTAAAATTACAGCATCATGATTGGAAATCGCAATAAAAAAATGAAATTGTCAGCGGTTTATGATTATTTTTTTGGTATTTGGAAAACATTCGCAATATTTATTTATCTATGTTGCTGTTGCATATAATGTTTTTTTTTTTTTAGTTTTTACAGCAAGAATTTCTTTCGAACTACAGTCAACTCTCCATACCGAATCATTTTTTAGAATTATAGTCACAATTTGAGCTATTAACTGTCATCAAGCAAATATTGTTTATAGTTGCTTGATGACAGTTGATAGCTCAAATTGTGACTATAATTCTAAAAAATGATTCGGTATGGAGAATTGAACTGTATACACATATTCTATGACAAATAATATCTTAATTTTGATAGATATTTTCTTAACGTTATTTTTAAATAACGTTAAAATGCGGTTTTTTTCGAGATTGGATTTGAGAACGAAACTCAAGAAACAATAACGATAACTATTAACAGCAACGACGATTAACAGCAACGACGATTAACAGCAACGACGATTAACAGCAACGCAAAATGAGCGAAACGCACTACGTATTACGTATGTATTCCGTACGTATTCCCATATTCCCATGATCGTGCTTGTGACACTTCGTTGTGCAAATACGGTAAACAAATTTGATAAATACATGTACATGTAGAATAACCAACCAACAAACTTCATACGTATTTAATTTTACATTTTCAATCTTATAAAAAAACACTCACTTGCAAAATACTAATAAGCCAGCCAAAGTCATAAATCAAATTAACCATCTTATCAAATAAAATGTCCAATACTACACATACTTTCATAACCGAACCCACGAAAGATATTATTGTAACTCTCTTACAAGAAATTTTAGAGCTATACAAAAAAGGATGCGACCACTGGGAACCAGACAGAAAAATCCTGAATCGAGTCCGCGAACATTATCGATCATACCAAGGACAAATAAACGAACAATCGATATACAATTCCTTGTCACAAATTGTGGCAGAAGATAACACTCCAGCACACATAAATCTTCAAGCGTTCTTGACTAGATGGGGTTTCGGCACGATCCCAGATATAAAGAAAGCATTTCAATTGTTTCATCACTCGGCGGTGTTGGGGGATCCAGTGGCGCAAAGTGAGCTCGGATATTTTTATAATAATGAATTGGGGATTACAAGAAATCGAGAAATGGCACATAAATGGTATAGTCAGTCGGCTAAGCAAGGGTATCCATTAGGTCAGTCGAATTTGGCATATTGGTACTTGTGTGGTGGAAATAAGGTGGCCGCGGGGGAAAAGAGTAATGGTAAAAAGGCTGTTTATTGGTATTTGAAAGCAGCTGATGCAGGATTAGCGTCGGCTGAAGCGCGGTTAGGGTTGTTGTTTCAAAAGGGAATTGGCACAATGAAAGATAAACATGAAGCGCTGCGATATTATCGTAAAGCGGTTGTGCAAAAAAATGAAAACGCGAGAATTGGATTGGAATGGATGATGATGCATTGAAGGAAATATTTTGTGAAATTTAAAATAATTTATGCTCCAATTCGAAATAAGTAATGCTTTCATAACCTAATAAATTATTCAGAATATTATTGATTTTGTTCTTTTTAAATTTCCTATATTCACTAATTTTCTATAACCAAACCTTCCAAAGTTTACTAGCTGTTTCAGGTTCCGCATACGACTTAGTGATGCAAAAATTTCGCCAATGGCGATTTTTTTGGCTTCTTGTGATATAAAGTTGAGTTGGTTTTCATTTAAATGCAGACAACTATTTCCCTATTGCGATTGTTGGTCTGAATCCTTTACTTTCAATGACTCCTTGCGTTAAATTTGTATCGATAAATCCTATTTTTCCCTAAATAATTTGGAAAAATAAAATGTGAGAATTTTGAAGAATATAAAAAAAATATTTAATATTGTTTCATGGATTGACCACACTTTTTTCCTTGAGTCAATTCAGCCATTCTAAAAAAACAAAATATCTATTACAATTTGTAATGGTGCTGGTGGATGCTTCAATCATGGGAAAAATAACACGTCACTACATTTACCGCATTATTAATTCTAAAATTTGTATCATAGGCACAAAAATTTCCCATAATAAATCTCCTTTTGTCTTCTTCCAAGGATTCTTTGTTTTAGTTTTCAAAGTATATCTTCATTAGTATATTTTCTTAATTCAGCTCTTCTTTTACTATGTTCTTCTCATTGCCGAGTCGATAACTACTCTTCTTCATAATTCTTTCTATTTATTTACGATCTGGCTTCTGCTGATTCGCCAATTACTGTAGCAATCCACTTTATTTTTTTCGATAGCTTTTAATCTCGCTCAATGCTTCAACTGAATATGTGCGTCTTATTGTATGAAAGTTTCCTCCATTTCTGTTTGTAATGATTGCACCTGATTGATAGTGAAGTATGAGGAAATTTAAATGCTCAATGAAGACTTAAATATTCTTCCAGAGAAATCGAAATTTCTGCGATGCATTGTTTAGAAAACAAATATAACTGTCGGCTACGTATTTTGTAACTGTAAATATAAAATGTAAATGTAAATGCAAAATGTAAATGCAAATGTAAAATGTAAATGTAAAATGTAAAATGTAAATGTAAAATGTAAATGTAAAGTGATACGGTGTGCGCAGGAGGTGAACAATCCGCAAGTTCCGCAGATATATACATGTACATATTTTCGCACACAACTTTTTGTCCAGAAATTCACTGGGATGTTTGCTGAATAAATTACAACTTTTTCTGCTAGCTCCGGAAAGGATGTGTCGATTTAGAAAATATCTCACAATTTTGTTGTGAAACCTTAGAATTCGGGACGTGAATTTCTGGATAAAAAATACCAAGTTTTTTTTACAGGGATATGCGGAGACTTGAAAGAGTAATGGCTAAAGTTTTCTAGAGAGAAATTTAAATGTGAGTTTAAGTAGTTATTTGCACAGATTCTATTACTTGAAGAAAAAGGTACACAGTAAACCCAGTGCTCCTGAATGGTTCGGCTTCGGTTTTCGCGTTTTACATTATCGTTATAACTTTTTATTTCCTGTAGAAATTTCATGCATTTTGCATGGAAATTTAATTTTTCGGTTCGGTTCTCCGGATTGACCTGAACCATTCGGATGGTTTTAAAATTCGGTTTATTGTCAGTTCGGCATAATATCGAGTTGTCATAATATCGAATATATATAATGATCGCGAGATTTATTGATGATGATTAGTATTCAACTAATATAATAATTACGTATAAAGTAAACTAATATGTAGGAGAATGAGAAAAATGCAGTTTGCTAGGGTAAGTTTTGTTCAAACCAAAATTCAGTATTGTGATTATCCATTTCACGAAATAAATTAGAGATAATACATAATTATTGGTCATGTTATAATAAAGGGAGAGAATAATGCATTGCTGTTCTGTGATTTTTGGTCATATTTCATACTAACGAGACTATTACATGTCATAATAATGAGCGCAAAAAAGACTGCTATTGTTTGGATTGACCAACTTGGTCATACTAACGCGGATGTCATCATAAAGGGTGTCGTATTAACGAGAGTTGACTGTATATAGTAAATTCGGTTTACAGTATTTAGTAAAATTCGGGATATCGAGGCAGGCTCACTCACTATAACTGTTCTAACTCCGATTTATCAAAGTAAGTTTACAATAGCTGTTCCTGGAACAAAATCCGGTTTATGCAGGGTTTGATTAGTGCTTCGGTTCGACTGCGTACTACCCAATCCTTTATATAATTATTTATAATATTTTAATCCTTATATAAAATTATTCATTTAATTTGACTATCTATTTACAATTACAACACTTCCCTACGGGAGCAATAGGTGTCAGCAATGATACGTTAATTATTATTGGATTTTTCTGGAATTCAAAAGAACACACATCGGTGAATGTGTTTCCATTGAATATTGCAAAGTCATCTAAAAACGGAGCATAGTTTTTTTTAGCATAAAGACCAAGTGCTAGTACAGTTGGCTCTCATTATCATTATATTAAACTTTCGTCATAATATAACTTTGAATTCTTAAAATAATCTAGGTATGAAAACGAAACAGTATTATCGGATGAAAATCCAATGTGACACGACACGTGGTCTTATTCGCACAGGGAATAGATTCTATACGCTACATGTACCAATTTGCTCTTTTTCAATTGTGTGCCAAAAATGAATGATATTCACCGATAAACTTCTCAAAAAAGAGCGGATTTAAAAATAATTCGATTCTGATGTACAAGCGTTCTTCTAAATTAATAAGATCGAAATAAAAAAAAGAAAATAAGAAGAATATATGATTCAAGACTGTTCATTTTATAATGAGAATAAAATGGCTCATGGTATAACGATAACATTTTCTTTCTAGCTCTATTTAAATTTTGATTTTACGCCATTGCGTGTCGTGTCAGCTTTCTGGTTTTCCTTCGAGATAGAATCAAGAAATATCTTAATGTGAGCTGTCATGTATAAATAATCCTCGTGTAAAAATTCAAAGTACTTAATGTTAGATTACCTTTTAACTTTACGAGGAAATGTGACTTACAGTATTAAGGGCCATTCGAGTAAATCTTAATTAATTAAGATTATTTTTCATCAGCTGGTCAAATTATAACGAGCGATGGACTCACATGTTCCTATTTCATGCAACCGACATATACAGAGATAATAATAACTTTGACATTAGATTCTGGGACAATTCAGGCGGAGTTCAAGTGCAAATGAATGATATTGGCAACCGATACGTATACATGTACAGCATCATTCTTTGTAGATCATTGTTACGTACATAATTAAATCCCGTTCGAAATACGTAGCGGTAGATGAGACAGAACCCGTAGCGGTATATATCATAATTCAGTGATGATTTCATTCACAGATGGCAATCATTCACCAAATTGAGATAACTAGCTCTGCATTCACTACAAGAGTCTGTCGTCTTCCAAACAAAAAGAAGCAGTTGATTTGGGAAACACTCATATTTTAGCACCAAATAATGTAATCTCAAGGTTTTATTCATGTTTACTATTCTATTTAGTGAATCATATTAAAATTTTTATTCCTTCATTAATTTCAAAAGAAATATCTTGTATGGTTTTATCGAAATCAAAAAGGAGATCTTGATGTAGGTAACTTGAAAAACAACGTCGGTTTCTCAACTAAAACAACCGACTATTATATTATTAGAACACTACGTAATACGTAAGAGAATTTTCCATTACTTTCTCGTTACGATGATAAAATTCGTATTAATTGTCTTTACAAATCAAAAATCCCATTAACGGATCGAATGCTGTCCTTTCAAATTAATGAATCGAATTTTCCGTTTGCGATTGTTGACATAATTCAAATCGATGGCAGACAGACAAAGTAAATGAGTGAGCCGTTTCTAGTTAAAATTCTTCTTTATTTAATTCCCGTTGCAATGATTCATAAGCCAAAATGCGGTAAGTCTTTTTACTTTTTTTTACTCCTGGAATTAAAACCTTTTATGACGGATAAGATCTGATCTTTATTAAGCAGCCTTGGAAGTGCATATGGTGTTGGTATAACTTTAGATTGCTTTTGCTTTGGTATATATCATATTTAACTTTAACCTGTTGAACAAATACCGATTGGATTCTAACTTCCTCATGATTTTAATCGTTTTAGACACACTAATTTATCATTCTTTTATAGCTTTCAATTACGTACGTATGTGTACAATATTTATTTTTACTGTATCTAACTATAATCGTACTACGTACATGTTTATAGCATAGAAACTCACCGAGAACACATGGAAAGGAGTCTGAATCGCGCGGAGTATGTGCTTGACTATAAAATTTAGACGGAAATATACGAGGTGTAACCGTTTCACGTTTTGCATTGCAGTCAAATAAATGTACACAAAATTCATGTGCTTCTAACATTTTTCCGTCGCGTTCAACATCTAAAAATAAGTTCACATTGGTATATGCAATACGTTATTATTTTGTTGTGTCAGTAGAAATAGAAGCTAATCGAATTGGCGAAGAAACGGCAAACTTGTTTACCCGTGATAAGAAATGCTAGCCTCATCAAATCAGAATATAGAAGATAGATGACCAAGCATTCTATTGAAAGACTTCCTTGGCGTGAGTTATTTTTGTGATGACATAAAATTAAACGATTAACGTGTTCGCCTAACCCTAACAATGTGGACTGAGCCAGTGACCTCAACGGAGCAGCGCCTATCGAGCCAATGAACTGTTCTCGATGGAGCACTGGTGATGCAGAAAATACTCTTTTTATCCAATTTAGCTCTGGACGAGATTAAGTAGGAGATGAAATGAGCGAAATTTATTATAGATCAAATTTATTTGTCTTTGTTTTAATATATAGTATAATAAATATATCTCAAGAAAAGAATGGTTTTGCCTGCCAACTTCATAATTCTTATTCTGTAATTTGGGTGCGAAATCTTTAGTCTTTTAAGGTTAGGTTTCGTCTGCGCTTTTCTATTAGATCAAACACGTAAGATGCATACTGTTCCGACAAGCACTGCTTATAGTACGTACCCCCTGCAAAAAATTAAAATTTTAAATTAGTCCAATTTTATCGTTATTTAGTAAACATTAATTTCTTCTATCAAATGAATGGTTCGCGATTCATCTTCAACAATTCGTAAAAGGATGATTTTGAGACTTAAATTAACTGGCAAAATTTTTACCGAGGGGGAGAGGTGGGTACTATAAGTAGTCCTCTACGACAAGTGACACTATTATTAACTTAAAATTTGACGGGAATTTTAAGGCACCGAGGATAAAGGGATTATTATCGTTGTGTAATCTTTAATAACGAAAAGCGAGATTTATAATATTATATGCGGGACAGACAATGCGTTAGATCATTTCTTCGATTCCATTATATTCTGGAAAGCTGGGTGATCGCATTTTTTGTCTCAACAATTGAAAGATTTAATATAAATACTGATATATTTTGTGCGACACGATGAATGATTATTGTCTATCACAACCAGTAATAAACTGGTAAAGGAGAATGAATCATAAATGGACTCAACAAAGACGAGCATTCGTTAAATTAAAAGATTTTTTGTTAAATTTTTTGTGTTGCCGTTTCGGAGTACGGAGCTGCATGTTTTGTAATCGTCTCTAGAAAATTTTCCTTCTCCTTATAAGAAATCTATGTATTCGGCTTTGGAATATCATTTTTATCGGTACGTATGGATAATACGTGTACAACTTTTGGTCTAAAATTTATAACTAGGAAGGTTTTTCCTTGAATTTAGATCATGAGATTGTATCTTCGGCTAAACTAAGAAAAACCACACGGACGTAAAACATGTACTCTCATTTTAAAACATCCAAATTCAATATGCTAAAAAAGACTTTCAAAGAAAACCCAAAGCAACAGAAAGGAAAACAAAAGCAACAGCAAGACAAACCAAATTTTTCGGATCCTAAGAAGAAACGAACACAAATAACACTTCTGGACAGCGGTGATTCCATCTTTCAAAAGCTACACGAGCGATTCACAACAGCAGTTCCGGAAGCAACCGTGATTGGAATCTTAAAAATAGAAATGCCGGAGAGAATAAAAAAACGACATCGAAAACTTGCGACAAAAATGTCGAAAAAATGTGAAGTCGATCCACAGACAATCACACATTCAATGTTTCATGGGACGACGTATCGTTGTCGTGATCCGATTACGATGCTGGAAACGGAAGCTGAATTTTGTGAGAATGAAGAGTGTGCAATGTGTGGCATTCTCAGAGAAGGAAATAAAAAGCGTAAAACCAGAAATAGCTGGTTGTGGTGGAAGAAGTCGGGAATTTGGTCGTCGAATGATCCAGGGCATTCATTAGCCCATTCCCTGAAACGGCCCGATCAGCATCCTTACATTATGTTTGTATTAGATGTGCTTTCGCCATTACCTGGTTATACACTCGAGGTTTTTGATGAGGCTGTAAGTTTTCTATTACTTACTCATGTTTTCATCAGATTCGCCCAAAAGCTAAAATTGAAATTGAAATCTTTACAGGCAACAATACCTAAATACTTGATAGTCTTCGAATAAAGTCTGATGAGAACCATTAAGGGATGATTCACCAGTCAGTGATATTTCTAATACAAAATTTTTTAGCTTAATAATTCAAAATAAATCATCTGTATATATGCTTCAAAAATTGTGATTTTTTCTGATTTTAAAACTTTGAACTTTACCATTACCACTGTTTTCGAAATGGTCCGATCGATAGATTTTCCCATGATTACAAGAGTAACTCGCTATTTTCCCAGGTTTCCACAATAGATTTGTTAAAACAGCTTTTTAAAGGAGATATTATAATGATTACTCAATTACTTGTAATCAAAGATAAAACCTTTATAATCGATCCTTTAGAACTCAACAAATCTATTGTATCTTGAAATCTAAGAAAATAGCATACGTAAATGGGCGAATTATTTTTTAAAAAATGTGTGTGTATACATTTGAGCTTCCTAGCTTACAGATATCAAGTTTTTATTGCACCATCTTGAAACTATAACGGTTGATTGTTTTTTCAAATAGCATTTATTCATCTCATTACTCACTGTCTCGTAGTAGGATCTCAAAACACACTTTATATCTATCTACACTTGCTTGTCAATATATTTTCCGAACAAGGTTGTAAGTACATGTATCTATTTATAAACTCATTGTGAATCTATTTCAGGTTTTATGACATTTCTAGAATCGATATGTATCATTTTTATGTCACCAAAACAAACGACGAAATCAGATTAAAATGAAAACTGGTGACCTTTTTTGAATGATAATTATAAAAAAGGGTTAAGGTCTTTTTTTTTAACAATTATTGTTCAAAAAGATCACCAGATTTCATTTTACGTAATCTGTCACAATAAAACCAGTTTCCAAGTTGCATCAATTAGGTGATTTGCCAACCCTAATTATCGGATTTTTCTAGTCTCCAAGAAACAAAAAACAGCCACCAACATTTTGATGGTTTACTTGGTAAATTTAAATAAAGTGGCACCATCTGATGAGCATTCCAAATTGTTAAAGTTTTAACTCACGAATGTCATGTTAGCACAATTTGCAAATTCTCGATTCACGCACGAACTCGATCTGTCATTTGCGAAAAAAATTCACACTCTAGTGAACCCGCTTTTTATAGTGGAGACTAATTAAAAATCTTTTTTGTCAAGTGGATGATTTGATATAAGCAGGTTTTTCATGTACAGTACTGTACTGTAAAATTAAATACGTACGTATGTATCAGTATGCAGATTATTGCATAAATCGACGATTATGTATTAGCATAACTTCATTCACATCTTACTGTAGTCAAAGTGAACTAACTACGTACATGTACATGTATACGATATCATATTGCGATTGTGAGAGAATTCGAAAACTACATCATCATGATGATGAGCTAGTAATGATAATGATCAAAATTACCCACGCTTTTGCTTTCATGCAGTCACTCGGGGAATTCAAAGTTCAAAAACGGAAACAAACATCAAACAAACAGTGGTGTGTGTGATGTGAAAATGATATAAATCTTGCAATTTTTACATCATGATCAAACATCATTACGAATCGGAATTTGCTATAAAAAAAGCTTTGATCATTGTTTGTCCTCTTGTTTTTTTCTCGCAGAAATTTTCTTCAAATCAAACAAAAACACCAAATCCCAATATAAAATTATTCATCCAAAAACAAAATGCCACCAAAAAGGAAAGCAGCTGCTAGCGAAAAAACTTCCACTCGTGCTGAAGGTGGCACGAACGGCAACGTTGTTTCGTCAGAAGCTACAACTGCTGTTACTCCCACTAAACGAAGTAGACGAGGAAGTGACGTTTCCTCGGAAAAATTATCTGAATCACCACCTAACATCCAAGAAACTAAACAACAACCCAAACGTGGACGAGGCAGGCCAGTGAAAGCCAGACCAAAGAACAAAAATAATGGAGAAACGACTTCGGGTAGATTGAATGAAAGCGGTGAGAAAATGGACTATGAAGTTTCTCCACAGTCGCCTGGATCATCTTCCGAGGAGGTTGCATCGGAAAAATCGAATTCACCTGGAAAAACCAAAATCAACGAATCAAATAAGGGTGAAGAAAAGCAACAACTAAAATCAGAGCCAATGGAGACTGATGAAGATGGTGATAATAAAAGTGAAGCACAACAAACAGAGGAGCGTGCTCAAAAGAATAGTGAAGAAATAATAAAGCAACAAAAAACAAAATCCACGGAAGCAGAGAAACTTGCTAAGGAGCAGCCGCAAGATAAATTAAAAATGCTGCAAACTCAAGAAAAACCGGCAGAATTGGTTGCTGAGAACACTGTTCCTGTTAGTTCGGGAGATATCAAAGAACATCAGAAGCAAGAAAAAAGTGACGGAGGTGATACTTCGAGAGCAAAAAGTGATGAGCAACGGCAACAAGAAGAGAAATCTACTGCTAATCAAAAATCTGAAGACACAGATAATAAAAAATTTTCAAACGAGCAAAAGAAAATGGATTTCATACATGATATGCCGTCGAATGTTCTTGAAAAAGGCCATATTAGCTTTTTCTATAGGCCAAAGGTGACTGAATATTTTGATCAGTCTATTTTTAATAATTTCATTATGAATACTTATGTAATTTAATTTCTAAACTTGAGATTGCGGCAATGCATCCAAACAATCCAAACGAAGTGCAACGTTTATATATTATGCTTATCCCCACACTTATTCGTCCTACGTTGGGCGATAAACCTATCGAAACAGTCGCCCAGAAAATGGTAAAGGGCAAGAAAACCGACGAAAAAGAAGAAGGGAAACTTATTGGTAAACCCCGTCTACTGATTGTGGGGAAAAAAAAGCTTCCTGAAGTCGAAAACCATGCTCGATATTGGACTTTTGTCGTAAGATCATTCATTATACATTTTATTTTTCGTAAATCTGCATTAATTATAACATGTTATTTGTAGGACAAATCATTCGACAATTTGGACGACATTAAAAGCACCCTTGGAATGGAACACTATAGCACGAAGACTAGGGGTGAAAGAACATTGCAACCATGCAGACCTTTAGTGTGTATATGCTATCGAGTTATCGAGTCCTTCGATTATTTTTAAAATGGAATAATTAATCTTTTCCGAATTTTAGGGAAGAGGTGCTTACTCAATATTGGAACATAATAAGCATACACATTTAGCATATGTTTTAGAGTTGCCGAGTCAACCTGGTGAAGTGCAAAGTGCATTTAATATTAAGCACGAAGCCAGTTATATTATAACCGTGAAGGTATATTTTGATAGTCTATCATTTTTATTGAAACCGTTGAAAATTGATTTAAAATTTTGTTATTAGAATCCTGAAGCAAGCAATCCTCCAAGCGCCGGTCTCACATCGAACAAAAAGGTAATTTATAAAAGAATTTCATCAACTATACTTGCTTTAAGTGCTTTTAAACCCAAACCAACGAAATATATAGTCTTCGTATCCACCCGAATTAATGGCGAAATTTGAAGGACGCCGCTTCGCACCCCTATATACAACCGAATTTCTAGACTACGAGGATAGCGAATTAATCTTGGTTGGAACCAAGGAAGATATTAAAGGCGAACTAGGTGCTCCCGGCGAATATCTTGAAAATTGGGCAGATGATGAAGCCAAAGAGATCCAGTTGTTGGAGGATCGAGCGATTTTCGAGGAGCTTCATTTGGAACCCAAAGATTTCCCACATGAGACTTTGAAGGGTATTTGGGAGTAATTATGCTTGTTGATGGGGTTATTTTATTGGTTTATTATTTCCTTATAATAATGTATATTCTTATTTATTATTTTATTCTTGTTATGTTTTATCATTAGCTTTTATAAAAATAGACTGTTCTAGTAAAGCTCAAGATTTGCATCAATACTAAAGGACGTACATTGTATGCAGAAAAGTTACAAGATTAGAAAAATGGTTGTGTACAATGAAAAGTTCAAAAATTATTCTGTCAAGCACACTGTCGATATTTTCTGTTATCCGAGTGTTTTCTATAATTTCACCAGCCACAATTTTTAATTCAACGTTAACGTTAATTAGTTTACTGCATTTTTGCGCAGTACGACAAAGAATATACATGTACAATAAAACTGGACACCAGTCGTGCTAACATGAAAAAAATGCGTATTGTCTTGAGCGGGATCGCATTGTAACGAAACTCTCGTGATCGTAAACAAGTTTATATCAAACAATTGAAAAAAACTTTTTGAATATCAGCTCATACAGTGTTCGTCAGAAGTAATCTAACGCTAAACCCCGTAGATCATGTGTAATGTACCAAAATTTTCCGAGTACAAAGAAAGTTATGGAGGGGGTTAGGTGACTTCTGACGAGCACTGTATCTAATACATTTTTTTTATTTTAACGAAAGTTTTGCGATGCTTTATTCAAGATATTCTCGATCAATTTTCTCATTTCAGATTTATGTGACTTTTCGACATTTAGAAAGAGACTAGCGCTAGTGCTAGAGACATTAGCACAAAAATTGAATTTGCAGACTCAAATAAGCACCCGCAATTCATTTTGCTTATAATACACTTTGATTTTATAGAATTACTCGCTTTTTTATTAGTTATCTTTTTTGAGACCTTCAACTGTTCTATCAACTTCACTTTCAAAGGCAATCTGAAAAACGCAAACCATTAGCCACCAACTGCTGCACCACACGTTATTTATAAAATACAATTTCGAAACATCTAGAAGTACACAAATCAATATTATCGGTAATCTATATTTATGATAGACGTAGCTGATGTATGTAATCTTGATTAATTGAACCATATAAGATTATTATCTATTTGAAATACGTAATAAATATCAACTTGGTTATCCAGTGTTGTCACTTTAATGTGTTTAGTAATAAGAAGTTACTGGAATAGACCATATTAGAATTAGAAAATTACTAAGTCCAGTGGCGCAGTATTAATTTTGCACAATAAGGGGGTGAGTACTTTACATGGAGATATAATCAAATTTCATAATACTTCTAAAATGCTAAATCGAGAAAATACTAGATCTCGTCAAATTAAACTGACCACAATTTCAATATACAGTCGACACTATTTATACCGAACCTGTTTTTATATAAGACTTGGAAAAAGTTAACTATAATTAATTTTATAAATTAATATAAAATATTATGAATCTAATTAAAATTCTATTGGCTAATTGTTATATAATCTTATTGGTTAACTTTTATTCTATATTGAACTCAAATTTATCAGAACAGCTGGTATAAACAGTGTTGACTATAGTGATCCGAAAAATTCCCTGCAAAAATGGGGGAGAGGTTTACTTAAACTAAACATGGCAGATGTTACAACTACTTTGTCATTCAACAAAAAATGTTAACATTGATAATTACCAATATAGAGTTTAATAACTCTGATAGTGATACTAATACAAAAATAACTGATATTGATCCAGATTTGAATGATATTTATGAAGCAACAGAAATACATGTAATGAAACAGATACAGAATCACAATACTTACCACGTAGTATCTCTATGAATTCAACTATACTATCAAAGTATAATTTCAACTAATCCAAGTACAACTTCAATTATTCCAACGAAAAGGTAAAAAAATCAACATGCAATGAAATACATCACTTTCATCATCGTTATTGCTCATCAATGCGAATAAATAAAAATTGATTAATAATAAATTCCTGAACCAGGTTTTCGATTCTCAAATTGAAAATCGAATTTATTTAAAACGTTTAAACGATTAATCGAAATTATTAATCGATTTATAATTGATTCTGGATTGGAATTGATTCCTATTCCTAGTATGATGCAAACTAAGAATCTGTAAAAATTATTTGGAAATCACAAATATTTGGAAATCATTATAATTATGTAATTTATACTGTTCTGGAACTTTTGTATTTAGTTTCTAAGTATTATATTAATATCTGGATAATTATCTAGTTACATTTTTAACTTAAATTATTTCATGTTTTAATATTTGTATTTCTAATATAATTATTATATAAAAAATTGCTATAAATAAATATATTTGAAAATTTGTATATACAATCGAATCTCTATATAGTCACACTATCAGAATATGAAACACTATAATTATAAAAAGGTTGTAACTATATGAATATCAATTTTCTTATGGTTTATAATGAATTAGAAACTGGAAAAATGTGCTTATATAGAGTTTGTGATTATATAGAAGATGATTATAGAGAAATTAGACTATATGTTGTATTTTAAGAATTAATTTGCATTAATTTAAATTAAAATAGGAGCATTACTAGAGTAGAATTAAGATTAAAATTAAAAATAAACATGTAAAATGCTATTTAATACAAATTATCATTTGAAATATAATATATATATATTAATAAATTAAATTTACTTGTACTAGTAATAGTATATTTTAATAGTAACTATTTATTAATTCAATATATTAACTATATTTTTAATAATTTTTTAAATATATAATCTTTCTAAAAAGTAATAACTGGTAGTTTTTTATTATAATATTTTACATAATAATTTAATTTAAAATTTTATTTTTATAATATATATAAATAAGATTTTATATTTTAGAAATAGTAATATTTAATATTAATATAATAATTTATTTATTAAAAATTTTTAAAGAATATAAATTTTTAAATATTTTAAAAAATAATCAATATTTTATGCTAATTTTTTGAAATTAACTATATATAAATTAGAAAATAATTTTTTATGAAAAAATTAATTTAATAATATATTTATTAAATTATTAAATCTTGTTTAGTGATAATTTTTAACTGAATTATTTGTAAAAAATCTTTAATATCTCAAAAATTTTATTAAAAACTGATTTTAGAGTATTATAAAAAATATTCAGCTAATTAATTTATAATTATTATAAAAATTTCAGAAAAGTAAACATAATTTGTAATATTTAATATTAATTTAAATATCAATTGATCATTATTTTTCAGAATAAATATATATAATTATATATTTAAAGTTTTATATATTAAATAATTTTCTCAAAAATAAAATTTCTTGAAAATTTTTGATAACTTATTTTGATATTTATTAATAATTTTATAATATTATATATATATTTTTATATTATATTATCAGAAATTGAAAAGAATATAATAAAATTAATATTATTTCTTTATATTAAAATTTATTATTTTATTAATAAATATGTTTTATTTTTATACTAAAATAAAAAATATTTATTAATAAAATAACAAATTTTAATATAAAAAAACAATATTAATTTTATTATATTTTATTATTTTTTTATTTTTTTTAATTTCTAGTAATATAGTATAGAAATATGTATAATATATTCAAAATTTCAAAAAATAACATGTTTTAAAAATATTAAATAATATTAGATTATTTAATTAATTTTTGTATATAAAAATATTTAGTTTATTTAGCTTTAATTTTTGTATAAATTTTAAATTATATTATATATAATATAAAGATCTAAGTTTTTAATTTATTAATTATTTTTTTATTTTAATATTTTAATATTTTAATATATTATTAAATATAAATTTTTTTATAATTATCAATAAAGTAATTTATAATATATAATAAAAATATTTTTAAAATAAATTAATTACTTTAAATTTTTTATATTGCAAAATCTATTTAAAATATTAAAATATTATAAATTATTTAACAAAATTATTAAAAAAAACTTTGCAAATATTGATATTAATAATTTATTTTAATAATATTTATATAGTATATAATATTTAAAGTTATTAAATATTTATATTTTATAAAATAAATAAATTTCTTTACTAAAAAGTAAATACAAAATTTAATTTATTTATAAATTAAATTTTATATTTATTTCTTAGTAAGAAAGTTTATCTATTTTATAAAATACAAATATTTGATAACTTTAGATAATATATATTATATAATAATTAATAGAATTATGAAATTATATATATAATTTTATTAGTAAAAATTAAATTTTTGTCTTATATAAAAGTTTTTAATTTATTAATAAATATTTTTTATTTTTATATTAAATAAAAATTATAAAATATATTTTAATATATGTTTTTTCTGGATTTTTTTAATAAAATTGTTCTAATTACAAAATTTTTACAAAAATTTTTTACAATTAAAATATAAATTTATAAAAATTTTTGTAATTAAAATAACATTATTAGAAAAAAATCTAAAAAATTCAAAAAAAATATATGTTAAATTATAACTTATAATTTTTGTTTTAATATATAAATAAAATATTTATTAATAAAATTGAAAATATTTATATAGTGACAATTAGAAATAATATAACAATATCAAAATTTATTAATTAAATATAATAAAATATAAATTTTTCTCTTTATATAAAAGTTTTTAATTTTACTAATAAATATTTTTTATTTGTATATTAAAATGAAAATAATATTACATATTTCAATATATATTTTTTTTAGATTTTTTAGATTTAATCTAATAAAGCTATACTAATTGCATATAAAGTTAAGTATTTTTTTATAATTAAAACATATAAAAACATAATTAATTTTATATGTAATTAGAACAGCTTTATCAGATTAAATCTGAAAAATCTAAAAAAAATATATATTAAAATATGTAATAT